AAGAAGAAAAACTTCTCCCTGCTATATACTTGGTAAATATGAAAGTATTAGTGGCAAACTATCCATGTCAAGTCATAGTTTCTTCACAAAATACTAAATTTTTGTAAACAAATAATATTCTTGAACATTTCCATGTCTGGGCTGGGAAGCATCCACCAGATCTGTTTTTCATGAAGTATTATAAAAACCTCTACTCAATTCAAGATTTTCACTTCATGAAAACTAAGATCTAGAATATGGATGAGAGCAATAGTAGAATAAAAGCTAATACCGACAAGTTAAATTATACATCCTGCCAAAAACAACGAAGTAAGATATACTCCTATTCGATAATTCGTTAAAGAAGAAAAACTTCTCACTGCTATATACTTGGTAAATATGAAAATATTAGTGGCAAACTATCCATGTCAAGTCATAGTTTCTTCACAAAATACTAAAAGTTTGTAAACAAATAATATTCTTGAACATTTCCATGTCTGGGCTGGGAAGCATCCACCAGATCTGTTTTTCATGAAGTATTATAAAAACATCTACTCAGTTCAAGATTTTCACTTCATGAAAACTAAGATCTAGAATATGGATGAGAGCAATAGTAGAAATAAAGCTAATACCGACAAGTTAAATTATACATCCTGCCAAAAACAATGAAGTAAGATATACTCCTATTCGATAATTCGTTAAAGAAGAAAAACTTCTCACTGCTATATACTTGGTAAATATGAAAATATTAGTGGCAAACTATCCATGTCAAGTCATAGTTTCTTCACAAAATACTAAATTTTTGTAAACAAATAATATTCTTGAACATTTCCATGTCTGGGCTGGGAAGCATCCACCACATCTGTTTTTCATGAAGTATTATAAAAACCTCTACTCAGTTCAAGATTTTCACTTCATGAAAACTAAGATCTAAAATATGGATGAGAGCAATAGTAGAAATAAAGCTAATACCGACAAGTTAAATTATACATCCTGCCAAAAACAACGAAGTAAAATATACTCCTATTCGATAATTCGTTAAAGAAGAAAAACTTCTCACTGCTATATACTTGGTAAATATGAAAATATTAGTGGCAAACTATCCATGTCAAGTCATAGTTTCTTCACAAAATACTAAAAGTTTGTAAACAAATAATATTCTTGAACATTTCCATGTCTGGGCTGGGAAGCATCCACCAGATCTGTTTTTCATGAAGTATTATAAAACATCTACTCAGTTCAAGATTTTCACTTCATGAAAACTAAGATCTAGAATATGGATGAGAGCAATAGTAGAAATAAAGCTAATACCGACAAGTTAAATTATACATCCTGCCAAAAACAATGAAATAAGATATACTCCTATTCGATAATTCGTTAAAGAAGAAAAACTTCTCACTGCTATATACTTGGTAAATATGAAAGTATTAGTGGCAAACTATCCATGTCAAGTCATAGTTTCTTCACAAAATATTAAAATTTTGTAAACAAATAATATTCTTGAACATTTCCATGTCTGGGCTGGGAAGCATCCAGATCTGTTTTTCATGAAGTATTATAAAAACCTCTACTCAGTTCAAGATTTTCACTTCATGAAAACTAAGATCTAGAATATGGATGAGAGCAATAGTAGAAATAAAACTAATACCGACAATTGAAATTATACATCCTGCTAAAAACAATGAAGTAAGATATACTCCTATTCGATAATTCGTTAAAGACGAAAAACTTCTCACTGCTATATACTTGGTAAATATGAAAGTATTAGTGACAAACTGTCCATGTCAAGTCATAGTTTCTTCACAAAATACTAACATTTTGTAAACAAATAATATTCTTGAACATTTCCATGTCTGGGCTGGGAAGCATCCACCAGATCTGTTATTCATGAAGTATTATAAAAACCTCTACTCAGTTCAAGATTTTCACTTCATGAAAACTAAGATCTAGAATATGGATGAGAGCAATAGTAGATATAAAGCTAATAGCGACAAGTTATATTATACATCCTGCCAAAAACAATGAAGTAAGATATACTCCTATTCGATAATTCGTTAAAGAAGAAAAACTTCTAACTGCTATATACTTGGTAAATATGAAAGTATTAGTGGCAAACTATCCATGTCAAGTCATAGTTTCTTCACAAAATACTAACATTTTGTAAACAAATAATATTCTTGAGCATTTCCATGTCTGGGCTGGGAAGCATCCACCAGATCTGTTTTTCATGAAGTATTATAAAAACCTCTACTCAGTTCAAGATTTTCACTTCATGAAAACTAAGATCTAGAATATGGATGAGAGCAATAGTAGAAATAAAACTAATACCGACAATTGAAATTATACATCCTGCTAAAAACAATGAAGTAAGATATACTCCTATTCGATAATTCGTTAAAGACGAAAAACTTCTCACTGCTATATACTTGGTAAATATGAAAGTATTAGTGACAAACTGTCCATGTCAAGTCATAGTTTCTTCACAAAATAATAAAATTTTGTAAACAAATAATATTCTTGAACATTTCCATGTCTGGGCTGGGAAGCATCCACCAGATCTGTTTTTCATGAAGTATTATAAAAACCTCTACTCAGTTCAAGATTTTCACTTCATGAAAACTAAGATCTAGAATATGGATGAGAGCAATAGTAGAAATAAAGCTAATAGCGACAAGTTATATTATACATCCTGCCAAAAACAATGAAGTAAGATATACTCCTATTCGATAATTCGTTAAAGAAGAAAACTTCTAACTGCTATATACTTGGTAAATATGAAAGTATTAGTGGCAAACTATCCATGTCAAGTCATAGTTTCTTCACAAAATACTAACATTTTGTAAACAAATAATATTCTTGAACATTTCCATGTCTGGGCTGGGAAGCATCCACCAGATCTGTTTTTTCATGAAGTATTATAAAACCTCTACTCAGTTCAAGATTTTCACTTCATGAAAACTAAGATCTAGAATATGGATGAGAGCAATAGTAGAAATAAAACTAATACCGACAATTGAAATTATACATCCTGCTAAAAATAATGAAGTAAGATATACTCCTATTCGATAATTCGTTAAAGACGAAAAACTTCTCACTGCTATATACTTGGTAAATATGAAAGTATTAGTGACAAACTGTCCATGTCAAGTCATAGTTTCTTCACAAAATAATAAAATTTTGTAAACAAATAATATTCTTGAACATTTCCATGTCTGGGCTGGGAAGCATCCACCAGATCTGTTTTTCATGAAGTATTATAAAAACCTCTACTCAGTTCAAGATTTTCACTTCATGAAAACTAAGATCTAGAATATGGATGAGAGCAATAGTAGAAATAAAGCTAACAGCGAAAAGTTATATTATACATCCTGCCAAAAACAATGAAGTAAGATATACTCCTATTCGATAATTCGTTAAAGAAGAAAAACTTCTAACTGCTATATACTTGGTAAATATGAAAGTATTAGTGGCAAACTATCCATGTCAAGTCATAGTTTCTTCACAAAATACTAACATTTTGTAAACAAATAATATTCTTGAGCATTTCCATGTCTGGGCTTGGGATTTTTCTACCTAGTATATTGAAATAGCCTTAAAAATAATAATATATAGCCTTCACAAAATACTATTTTTGTAAATAAACAAGATACTGGAACGTCCTCATATGTGAGCTGGAGAGAACCTACCTAATCTGTGATTTATGATATGCTATAAAAAAACCTCTTCTCAGTTTAAGACTTTAATTTCTAAATCGACATTTGGACATGCAACGTCCTTCCGAAAATAATGTAGGACTCATGGGCGTAGGTACGTAGGTATAGCAATAATAATCCCGACCATGTTGTATGGGAGCGAAACCTGAGTGCCGTATCACCGACACATGAACGCATTAATCAAATTGCAACAGAGACACCTTAGACAACTCATAAGAATCAAATGGTTCCATCATGTCTCAAACGTATCCGTCCTTGAAAAAGCCAACTGCTAGAGTATTGGAGTCATGGTTACAAAATCCCCCTTAAGATGGGCTGGTCACGTATGCAGAATGCAAGAAAACCGCATACCAAAATCTCTGCTTTACGGTGAGCTTGTAGACGGTAAGAGGAGGCCGCGCCGGGTGGACAACTCAAAAGGTATAAGGGCATTTTCTACAAAAACTTAGAGAGGATTAACATGCAAAATCAGTGGGAAGAAGCAACTCACAATAGAACTCATTGGAGAAGAATTGTAAACTCAGTTAACAGCGACAACCAAAAAGTAAAGAGGCAACAAAGCAATGAGATTTTTGAATGTCCGGAATGCGGTAGACCGATAACATCACGTATCGGGCTTTTCAGTCACAGAAAAGCTCATGAAAGAAAACGCCTTGCGTGACCATCTTCTGATGCGTGTCAAATACTCGTCAGCGAGTAATGGCAGTATGTATAATACGTAGGTAATAATGTAGGTATGATGGGGCAGGGTGGGGCAGTTGTCCAATACCTCAAGAGAAAAATGTCTATATATTGAGCGAACTACCAAAAAAAACTACCTGCCAAAAGAAATTTTGCAATATTTCTTATACTCCAACTGTGTTTTGAGGTATTCAAATAAAACAATTTTTTGATAAGTGACATAGCCTGTCATTGATCTAAAGGTTAAGGCATGGTTTCATTATAACTTTACATATTTAAAGAAAAACCTAGGGTTAATACTGGAATTAAAACAAACTAATTGATTTATTCAGTTTTATTGCTTATTTTCTTTGTTAACCCATTATACAGACAAAATATGTAAAATTCTAAAAACTCATACTAGTAATTCTATATATGGTTAGTGCTCCACCATCACTAATTTGTCATAAATTTATAATTTTCTACATAGCTTTTAGAAAACGTTAATTACAGAGTTTATTTATTAACGAAAAATTGAAAACTAATAATACTGAGTCACTTTTATCCACAAAATAAGCTAATTCTATGGATCAAATTATTTTACAATTCAGGACGTTGGAAAGTCAGAACAACTAAACATCATTTATTAGAGGACATAAGCAAACACACTGTTTTATTTTAATCACGTGATCATACAAAAAATAGTTAAAATACAAGTGCTTTTCATCTTAATCCTAATACCATAAAAAATAAATAACAAAATTATAAATTATAAACAGACAAGAGCAATAAATTACAAGTGTCGATCGCTAATAACAAATGGGTACCAAACCACACTTCGCTCATATATTATATTCTTTTCCTTAACTATACCACTTACCTATAACTATTTATGATCTTTTACAAAGAGATAAAAAAGAACCGATCGCATAACTTGAGCAAAACAATTGTAAAAGCGGTACAAACCGAGTATTTAACATAATATATTTACAAAAGCATGTTGAAATCGAGAGTGCCTCAAAATTCTTGCGGTATCAAACTAATTTAATCTTTAAAATAATCGAGGTGAATGCAATCCGCTCGTTTGATAATCTAATTCAGGTACGTGGAAAGCTCCAATTGGGCCCCAATCGCACAAAGAATGTGAGTTTGCTAATCGATGTGTCAGTCTATGAGCTATTGAGAATCCTCCACTGCCTTCCAACTGAGTCAAGACGATAATGACCTAATAAGAACAAAATATGATATTTAGTTAAATTATTTTTTTTTCAAACGCCACAAAAGTATTAATTTTTGCGACGTGATTGACAATATAAAAAAGTCATTTTAACGTCTAGGCATAAAAGGAAGCACTAGGGTGAGCCAAAAAAAACTAACCTATGGAATTTATGGGTTAAAATGAACCTAATATTCGAGAAAAAAATATCCCCGGAAGGCAGGATTTTTAGCTCAATTTTAAAAGGTGTCGGTGAACATTCAAAGTTGTCCATTCATTTCAATTTAAATAACTTAAAAAAATCTGTTTCATTAAAATCATTAATCAAAAAAATCATTATCATTAAAAATGCCATAACTTTGAAACGATTTATGATACGAAATTTTACATCGCGTATTCTTGTACAGCATAAAATTCCCTAAAAAATCTGTGAGAATTATTTTTTCAATTCAATAATTCGTATATTTGAACTCTTTGAAAAGTGAAAAAAATCAAAATATGCGGTTTTAGTGTTTATTGATTAAAAATTTTCATATTTAGCAAAAAAACGAAGGAAATTTTATGCTCTACAAGTATACGCGATGTAAATTTTTTTATCGTAAACCGTTTCAAAGTTATGGTACTTTTAATGAAAAAAGATTTTTTTACGTGTTATTTAAATGGAAAACTTTGAATGTTCACCGACATTTTTTAAAATTGAGTTAAAAATCCTGCCTCCCTGGATATTTTTTTCTCTCGATTATTAGGTTCACTTTAACCTATAAATTCCATAGGTTAATTTTTTTGGCTCACCCTAGTAAGCACTTTTACGCATAAGCACAAAAAGTACGAAAATATATTATTAAATTGATATAAAGTGTCAAATTCAACGAGTGTAACCATACTTTCTCGATACATAATTACTTACAAGGTGTTTTAAATATTTTTATATTATTTACAACGTTTGAAATTGTTTAAAAATTATTTGTAACGTTAGAGAAAAATAGCATGTTCTATTCTATTTAATTGTGTTTTTTAGACATTGTGAATGATCGTAAACTAAAAAGTATAAATTGTAATTGAAACCACCAATTTATTCCACTAATTGCGAAATTCTGAATGAAGCTTAAAACGTATTAATTCAAACGTAGAGAAATCATATTATAATAGAGAGATACGGCAAAGTCCAATACTGCCGCAATTCCGCTATTAGCGCTAACGTTATTTTGACATTTGCATTTGTCGAACTTCGAGTTATGGCAACACAAAATAGCGTTGATTGATTCTGACGATTATGCCAACATTTTTAAAAATTTAGCCTTAGCCTAGTTTTCTGATTTTGTCGATCAAAAAAGCATCTATATCAGGAGTTTTAATTAGTATCTACACGAAAGTGTGTCTAAAAAAGAGTACAATTTAACCCAATAAAGAGTTATCCCAATTTTTATAAAAAAAAATACAGTATCTCAACTGATAAAATAACGTTACGAAACTGTCAAATTACCGCACGGCGCCGGCGTCTTCTCCACCTAAATACCGGTATGCGGTAACGTTAATAGCGCACAAACGCTTATTATGACACTTTAACTGTCATAGTTGCCAAAATAACGCCTCCGTTAATACCGCACATCGTTGCCATATTTCTCTAATATCTTGCTGTCACATTTTATTTCAATATTTATATGGATATTTATATTCATTTATACCGTATTATTATACCTTATTAAAGTACTTTTTAATATTAAACTCCATTGAAAAGAATAATCAATCGTAAAAGATAAATTCCATAATAAAGGTATTTAAATTTAGAAAACGCCAACATTTGACATTTCCAGTATTTTACCAAACCATTCCGCATTTAACCGATATTTTTCAGGAACCATTCCTTACTATAGTTTACCGGTCTGGTTCACAACTTAAGAAGAATAAGAAATTAAAAATACTGAGGCACAACAACGAAGTAGTCAAGATTAGCAATATTTAAATTACTATTAAATTATTTCCATGTAAAATACTAAATATTTTGTGTCATTAAAATGTATAAAGGGTGCATGATCACTATTAGATCAATAAAAATATTGCATTTGTAATAAGCACACTAAAGCTTATTAGAATTTAGGTTGCTACGCTTTGTGTTCACAAAAAAAGCCACCATACACCAGATTATCTTTTTGAAAAAAAAAAAAGTAAACGCAATTTTTGAGGCGAAATTTTAGTGTATCGTGGTTGAATTGTATAGCTTCCATCAGTGGCGGCTCGGAGTGGCGGCTTGTAGGGATTAGGTTTAAAATGCACCCGCCTATAAAGAGGAGGAGAGAAAGTTAATCATCTCTAATAATAGATTGAATACAGGGTGTCTAATACAGGTGATGTCACTCTTGCTATAATTCGAAGAATCAATTAGAAAATGCATTTCGCGGGCACTAATCGTAGATACTATAGCAGTAGTAGTGTGGCATATCATTGTACAGGAGATCGAGTTCTTTCAAAAGCTGAAATAAAAAATGCAGGTCCATATTTAAAAAAAAATTGGCCTCTGTATCTCACAAATTATCAGCTAATTTGAAAATCTAAAATACCATCAGATAGCCCTAATAAAGTGGCTATGAGAATGTGCCATTAGTTTTTTGATTTTCAAAAAAGTAATGATAGGAAAAAATAAAATTGATTTTAAAAAAAATCCGTTTTTTTTTTCAAAAAACTCAGCAATCCTTGAAATTTTTAAAACTTTTTTTAAAAAATTTTAATCAAGGAACCTTAGAAAAATAGATTAGATCGTCTAATGTTTTTAGTGTCTTGTAATGGCCGGTTAAAAGATGCCTAAATCGTATTTTTAATCATATCTCAATTTTTTCAAATAGAACGAGGGTGGCTCATTAGCATATTTGGAAAAAGCATTTTTTTACGAATAATTTGATACTACACACTTGGTATTTTGAGTCAAATTGTCGTAATGAACCGCATGTTACAATTTCAAATAAACCATATGCGAAAATGTCAAAAATTTAAATATCATATGTCATTCGATTCAGAGTGTCATTTTCTATCGAATAAAGTAAAAAAATACCGAGGGTGCCATTTAAAAATCAAAAGTTGTAGTCATTTCCGGTGAAACGGGAAGTGACTCGCGAAGAAAATTGAATACGTCAATCAATCCCAATTTATGTCATATACTAACATGCTAAATCTCGTTGTTTTATCTGAAAAAATAAAAAAGTTATAGGGGTGAGCCACTTTTGAGACGCACCCGGTATAACTTTAATATTTAACATTTTTTGTAAACCTCGAAACAAATGAGATAATGGACTTTATCGTTGACTCACCCTGTACAAACATTTGTTATTGGCATATACTTGCCATGTTGTGTGACCGGTTTACTTGTGCAATTATCTGTCACTCGCAGCGCTGCGTGAGCGCCAAGCTTGCATAGATAAATGCAACAAGTTTAGATTGGAAAGCCCGTAAAAATTTTAGGTTGCGAAATTATTTTGGGTCGCGACCGTTATACGCGATCTGGCGCTGCTATAGCGGTCGCTAAGAACAACGGCAAACAAAAACATAAATAATTTTCTCTTGTCAAAGTCAGAATCTTCAAAAATCATAATAATCTTTCAAAATCTAAACCGCTCTCATTAAAGAAATTCCGAAAAGTGTTTATAGCGTCCATTCTCAAAGTAATTATTGCTATCTTGTGAGTTTAATTCAAGTTTTATTTACTCCAACCGGTAATAATTGTGAAAAAGTGGCATTAAAAACTTAAAAAGCTGTGCTGTGAACTGTGAAGTGCAAAAACCATCGTGGATCGTGGCATAACGTCGGTTTCCAATGTTTCATATGTATTTCATATATGCGTCCTTATATAAAATAAAGTTTCTTATATGCAACCCACTGTATTTTATTTATAAAATTAAACGAAAACAATAATAAATTTGAATAAACAATATTTGGCGATATAATTCCGGAAAAAGCCGAACTGCTCCGAAATTTTCAAAAGTTTTGTGTCGCGACCGTTGCAAGAATAGCGCCAAATAGTGTTTACATTGTCCTTATGGGCACTTTCCAATCTAAACTTGTTTCATTTATCTATGCAAGCTTGTTGCAAAAAATGTTGTTTACAAAGATAGTATACTCACAAAGTACGCAAATATTGGCGTACTTGCCAAGTACACGAGTCGTAGGAATCCGCCTTAATATCAGTGAAATCTAATTAAAAGATATATCAAAACAAAAAGTAATTGAAATTTCGAAATTTTCACTAAATTTCAATGGGAAAACTCCCTATTATAACCTTCGTAAAGTGTGTAAAGTGTAAAATACAAGGTTATGCAGTGTTGCCAGACTAACCCTGTTTAAAATCGACGAAAACGTTCGACTATATTATTCTTTCTGGTTTTTACAGTCAAATCACCCAGCCAAATCACTACTGTTTTGAGTCCTTTCACGTCAACTTTATTTCAGAAGAAAATCATATAAAATAATGTTATTGACAACGTCGCAAATTTTATGCGAAGGGCATAGATGACATACCGATGATCGATCAACTGTCAATTGTCAATCAAAAAAGTCATAATGCTAGCTTTGGATGTTGTAAATAAACATTATTGTCTTAATTTTTATGCTTACAAAGAGGATTCATTACATTCTTGTGCTTATATTAATATATTCCACGTCTATATAAGGTAATAAAGTGCTAATATAATATGATGTTTTTACTGTGTAGAAAATTTTTACATTACTGTCGGTCGTTTTTATTACTGTCGGTCGCCTCTGCCTAAATTACTTTTTTGCCGCTTTTTAAAGAAGAAACACATTTATCCAACAACTTTTCCTTAAAAATGTTCAATAATTTAAGAAAATCTTGCAAAAAAATCCAAAAAAGTGTTAAATGCGTAGGGACCTATTGTGCACAAGAGCCTAATGAGAATTTTAAATTACATATTTTATTACAAATAGTCAGAATCTCACAAACTCTATTTATTAGTTTCTTATTAAATACCTGATGTCAGATTCTGCTTTTTGAGAATCTGACA